CTGAGTAAATTGTAAGGAAGTCTCAAGTGGGAGCAGGGGTCCTGACTAAATTGCGAAGAAGTCACAAGGGGGAGCACCGATCCTGAGTAAATTGTGAGGAAGTCTCACGCAGGAGCGGGGGTCCTGAGTAAATTCGGAGGAAGTCTCAAGCGGGAGCCGTTGTTGTTGCAATCCGGGGGGGCAGGGGCACACTTTGAGCTTCAAGACTTTCCCTGTCAAAAGGCAGGGTGCGAGCGTCGAGGGGCACAGTCTGATTGAGAAAAAACAGTCTGCACCGGTGAGGGGGGACCAACCATAACTATTCTTCAGAAAAGAGAGTTCAACAACAACGACAGCAGCAGCAACAACAACAACAACAACAGCACCAACAACAACAACAACAACAACAACAACAATTACTAGCACGTGGGGACACTCCGTTCTCACCAGTGCCAGGGTTTTCATACGACGCCCGCCAATACCCCCACTTTGTGGGGGGGCCGGTTCAAGCTCTACCACATTTCCAAACGACTCTTCGCCACCACCCACACCCAGCTTCCCGCCCTATGACGTTCGGACACTTCACTTCGTGGCATGCGGACGACCGTGGCTACTATTCAGGGCCCCGCGGCCGACGACGACGGCGTGCGCGCGCGAAGAAAAAACGAATGTGTCCCGCATGGTATTATTTGACAGGGATGATGGCCCTGGCAGGTGCGCAACCGTTGTCGCAGAAGTTCGAAAAAGTTGCTCGCAAAAGCCCGTTTGACAGAAATGTTTAAAAAGTGTTGGGTTTCCTACGAATCCGCAAGAGCGCGCGGGATGAAATTTTGACAAGTTTTTTTTGAAAAACCATTGGTTTTTTATGTTGTTATGTTAAAATCGCTACGAAAACTAAGGTTTTGGAAGGATTTCGTCTTGCGCGCGCGAATGTCCACTTTACCTTTTTTTTGCAAGGGATTCTTGAAGTTTGGATATGTTAGAACAAGAAATGTCAACTTTAGCTTATTTTTTGCGAGGGAAAACCGATCGTAATAACACAACCGGATTGGATGACATCGTTTTACCTGAGACTTCCTCACGAAAATGATGAAAACGTGGCTGCGGCCTAGGCGCGGCGGGGGGGCCATGCACCAGGGGCCCCAACAATAATTATTCTTTAGAAGTAATAATGTTCAACAACAACAACAACAACAACAACAACAACAACAACAACAACAACAACAACAATAACAATCAGTTTAAAACTGATCGCCCTTATCTGCTCGAGTGTCCAATAACGCGTATTTCCCAAACCCTCGATACCCGCCCCCTTCGTTTTCGATCGAACCCCTTTTGGGGGGTATACCTGTCTTCCCTGCAGGCCGGGCCCCGGCAAGCGGCGGAGCGGCCGCGGACCGTCGGCCTGGCCAGCGGCAGCGCTGATCGGCGGGACGGCCGCGGACCGTCGACCCGACCCCAAGAGGGACGGACAGGGGACCGACCACGACGAGGACGACGACGACGACGACGTCGACGACAACGGCGACGACGTCGACGACGGCGACGACGAGCAAAAGCGAGAGCGAGAGAGAACGACAGCAGGGCCACGAAGGACACGAAGTAGGCCACGAAGGGCGACAGCGGGGACATGAAGGGAATGCGTATGGGGCCACGAAGAGCGCGAACGAGCGGGGGCCACGAAGTGCAGATAATGCGGTGCCACAGAAGGCAACGATGGGGCCACTGAGGGAAGCAACTGGGCCACGTAGGACAGTGAGGGGGCCACAAACGGCGACAGCGGGGCCACGAAGGGCATGCACATGGGGCAACAACGGGCGCGACTCCTGGGTGCCTGGGTGTCGGGAGCGCGGCGCTTGAGCAAATTGCAAGAAATTCCCACGCAACGGCGCCATTCTTCAATAAATTGCAAGCAAGTCTCCAGCGAGAGCGCGACCCCAGAGCGCCGGGAGAGCGATTCCTGAATAAATTGTAAGGAAGTCCCAAGCGAGAGCGCGATCCCTGAATAAAATGTGAAGGAATCTCGGGCGGGAGCGGCGGTCCTGGCAAAATTGTGAGGAAGTCTCAAGCGGGAGCCGTTGTTGTTGTTGTAATCCGGGGGGCCAGGGGCCCAGTTTGAGCATCAAGACTTTCCCTGTCAAAAAGCAGGGTGCGAGCGTCGAGGGGCACACTTTGATTGAGAAAAAACAGTCTGCACCGGTGGGGGGGATCAACAATAATAATTCTTCAGAAATGAGAGTTCAACAGCAACAACAACAACAACAACAACAACAACAACAACAACAACCCCAACAACCCCAACAACCCCAACCCCAACAACAACAACAACAACAACAACAACAACAACAACAAACAACAAAAACAGCAACAACAGCAACAGCAGAAACAGCAACAATGTTCAGACTGTTCGCCAGAGCGAGAGCGTGATTCCCGAGTGTCCATGGCGCGGCGTCTGAATGAACTGCAAGAAAAGTACCACGCGAGAGCGCGATTCACGCAGAACTTGTGAGAAAGTCCCGCGTGAGAGAGCGATGCTGGAATCAAGTGTGAGGAAATATCAGACGGGAGCAGTTGTTGTTGAAAACCGGCGGCCAACAACACAATCTGAGCCTCAACACGTTCCGTTGTAAAAACAGGGTGCGAGCCCCAGGAGGAGCACTCACATCGAAAAACATAGTGAGCGCCTGGGGAGGGATCCATTATAACTCTTCTCTAGAAATGAGAGCTCAAAGGCAATCCTGTTCACACTGTTCGCTCTTATCTGCTCGCGTGCCACTCAACATGTAGATCCCCAACCCTTGATACCCGCCCTCTTCGTCTTCGAACGTGCCCCCCTTGGGGGTACATCATCCCTGCCTGCCGCGTGCAGTTGGCAGACCCCAAAACAGGGGAGAGAAGGGAGGAGGGAAGCGACAGAGGGGAAGCGAAAGGATGGAGCACGAGACAGACTAGCAGGAGGGGTGTCAGGAGCCAGGAGCAGCACCAGGCCGTCTGGTTCTGCTACCGCCCCCGACCCGCCCGTCTGACGGGCGGGTCGGGCGGGCGGAGCCTGCAGGTCGGGCGGGCGAGCCCAGACGGCCAGGTCGAGCGGGCGGGTCGCTGAAGCGTCGATCCAACCTGAATCGCGAGTAGGTTTCGAGCGAAAGTGCGATTCCCGTGCAAAGCATCAGGGAATCCAAAGCGAGAGCATGATTCGTGAATGTCGGGAGCACGAGCGCGATGTTGCAGCAAACTGTGAGGAAGCATCAGGCGGGAGCCGCTGCTGTTGCAAACTGGTAGCCAACAACACAGTTTCAGCCATGAGACTTCTCCTTGTAAAACACAGGGTGCGAACACTGGGAGGTAATTGAAAAAAACATGTGCGCCGGAAGGGGGGATCAACAATAGTTATCCTTTAGAAATGAGAGCTCGCTCAGCTTAAAACTGTTCGCTCTTGCCTGCCCGTGTGCCATTCAACGCGTATGTCCCAAACCCTCGATACCCGCCCTCTTCGCCATCGATCGTACCCCGGGATAATTGTTTTACCTGCCGCGTGTAATTGGCGCAGCCCCTCATAGTAGGAAAAAGAGGACGGATGGAAGGGGAGGAAAGAAGCACGGTGCACGAGAAAAATCAGCAGGAGAGAAATTCGGAGCAGAAAACACATGGCAGAACCAGACGGGCTGATCGGGCAAATAGACCCTAACGGGCGGGTCGGGAAGGCGGGCCCAGGCGGCCAGGTCGAGCAGGCGGCCCAAACAAGTCGTGAGAAAAGCGAGGGCGAGAGCGCGAGTCCTGACCGTCGAGGGCTTGGCGCCTGAACGAAGTGCGGGGAAGTCCCACGCGAGAGCGCGACTCCGATGCTGTTGCTGTAGAACGGGGCCAGGGGCACAATCTGAGCTACAACCCTTGCACCAAAAGGAAGGGGGGGAGGGGCTTCCGAAGCTCCCCCCCTCCCCCTCAGTTTCCCAGGTTGCTGAGGGGGGGGGAGGTAGCTTCGGAAGCCCCCACCCCTCCCCTAGTGAAAGGAGGGAGGGGGGGGTGCTTGAAGCTGCCCCCCCCCCCTTTTGTTCTTCGATTTTCTCCCGTAGCGCGCTCGTTCCCACCTATCCAACCCTCTGTTCCTTCCCCCCCCATTGCCCAAGATGGCCTCAGGCACACCCCAGTCGGTCCAAGAGAGCCTCCAACATGCAGCACGGGCTAAACTATCCAGTAAGACAGCACAGCGCCCACCAAGACCTTGAACAGTTCAATGTGTGATGCTCATCGCTCACGTTCCTGGCACCATGTCCCAACATTAGTTCAAGGCAGCACCCATGCATCCCGATGTAGCTCAGACGTGGCCCACGATGACAAAGAGGGGAGGCGGCAGCAGAGGGCGAAGCCATAGGGACAGTACTCACGCCACTGTCGACAGCACTTTCGTGGTACGCCATCACCTATATCTATATATATATATATATATATATATATATATATATATATATTGTTATATGTGTATGTATGTGTATATATATATACATTTAGAGAGAGAGAGAGAGAGAGCGAGGTGTTTTTGGGCACCGAAGGTGCGACTACCCAGAGCGTGGAGTTCGGTGGACGCTTCCCCGAACTCTATGATCACGCCTCGCCGCGTTCCTCAGAGCCAGAAATATGGCGGGCGGCTGATTTTCAAAAACGGGCTCCCGTCTGCACTGCAGGCCCACGGACAAGCTTCGTTCTAGAGGGGCAAGGGAGCACTCCCCGCGGCGAGCAAGAACAGGGGACCTGAAGAGTAGGGTGCACCTCGGCAGCATTGGTGCATATTGCCCTAAAGGGTTGGTTCTGCTCCTCCTCATCATCATCCTCCGTTTCCTCCTCGTCCTTCTCTTCCTCCGTTTCCTCCTCTTCATCCTCTTCCTCCTCTTCCTCCTCTTCCTCCTCTTCCTCCTCCTCCTCCTCCTCCTCCTCCTCCTCCTCCTCCTCCTCCTCCTCCTCCTCCTCCTCCTCCTCCTCCTCCTCCTCCCCCTTCCTCAGTTCATCCCCCCCTCCCGCCCAATGACCCATTCGCTCTGGGTTATATGGCCCGACGAGTCAGCATCGAGGAGGTTGAAGAAATCCTCGAGCTTGTGAGACTTGAGCACGCTGATCACCTCGGGGAGCACGAGGAAGTGAGGAAGGAAGGGATGCAGGGAGGTTGGAGAATGAGGAGTAGGAGCAGGAGCAGAGGAGGGGAGGAGGAAGGAGGACGCAGGCTGGAGAACAGAGCGAGGGAGGGAGGCGTTCGGGGTGGGTGGGCAGTGGGGGGGGGGGCGCAGAATCTCAAACATTTACAGATTCTCCCTGGTGGGTGCAAGTGGTCCTAGAGGGCTCCCCAGGAGTGCTACGAGGAACCAGCGAGCGGAGAGAGGAGGAGGAGAAGTGGGAGCAGGAAGAAGAGGTCGAGACTGACAGAGAAATTGCGGGGGGCATTTGTCACCTCTGTGGGCAAGGCAATGTCTATCTTCGACAAGTCGAGGTCTGCCAGGCTAATGTGTCCACTGCGTGTGAAGTCGAACTCCCTGAACATCCTGTTCAGAATGGGTATCAGCGTCCTCAGCTTGCTCTTCATGCAGACGCGCTCCAATTCTGCGTCGTGGGTGGAGATCTGAATGGCATGGTCAACGATCACGGCAGTGATCAAATCAGCTGGGCGAGCAGGTCGCCATTGACTCGTATACGCATGCCGCAACTGTTCCTCATGTTGCAAGTAATTAATTGAAGATGCTCGACGGCCTTTCTCAATCAAATGTGCAACGAATGATTGCTGGAAGCACGACCCCTCGGCCCCGGAACGCAAGCGTCCGCACCTCTTGACCATGCCTCATCACTCCCTGGCCGCTCGCAGCCTCCTCCCGGGGCCCCCGGGGGGCCCCCGGACTCACCCGAGGCCTCGGAGCACCTCGCAGACGCGGATGGGAGAGAGGAGCTGCCCCCCTGAGCGAGAGGCCAGGACAGAAACTCGCCGCGGGCGCTGGTTCCGGCGTTTACGGTTGATCTGCCACCGTGCAGCGAAACACTGCGGGGAGCCTCTCCCCTGGAAGCGCAACAGTCGAAGATGGACGGATCGGTCACGGACTGACGAGTGCCGAGGCCGACGGGCCGCGAACCGATGTGGGACAAGGGACGGCCTCGCAGAGCAGCTGCCCTCTTATGCTAGTGCAGCAGGAAGGTCGCGGCCCGAGCGTACTCTGTCCGGCATAGTTTGGGGTACTGCCGAAGGGGCCCGCGGCCCCCGAGTTCCGGGGCTCCCCGGGCTCCTGGGGCCGGTCGCGCGACGTCTCGCGCCACTGCTCCGGGAGGCGAGCGGGGCTCGAACAAGACAGGCCGAGGGTCGAGAGGGCTCCAGTAGGCCTCCCGGATGGTCCAGGGGGGGCCCGAGATGGCCCAAGAGCTCTCCAAGACGCCCAAGATGGCCTGAGGAGGACCCAAGGGGCCCCCCAAACCCCACAGAGGGCTCCAAGAGGAACTCCAAGAGGGTCCCAAGAGGCCCAGACCCGGGATTTGTTGAAAGGGTGGTTGGCATGTGTTAGCGTCCTCGCCTTTTCGGGCTCCCGACCACCCAAGACCGCCCAAGAGGACCCCAAGATCGCCCAAATTGGGCCCAAGAGCCCCCCAAGGCGGCCCCAAGAAGGAGAAAGCGACTGGGCCTTCGGAGCCCTCTGGGGCCAAGATAGCTCCCAATACTGCCAAGATGCCCCCAAGAGACCCAAAGGACCTCCAAGAGGCCACAAGACGTCCCCGAGAGGCCCCCCTAAAAATACCCCCAAGAGGCCCCCAAGAGCCCCCAAAACGCCCAAAACAGGCATCCAGCCAGCAAGGGGCCCCCGGAAGGTTCCAAGAGGCCCCCGAGAAGCTCCAGAGGGAGACATCCAAGAGAGAGGCACCCCGAGAGGCCCCCGAGAGGCACCTCCGGAAGCACCGAGAGGCATCAGAGACGTCTCCGACTCACGACCCGGGCACGGACGAGCCGAGGGCCACACAGATACCGGGGAGAGGGACAGAGGGGGACCCAGACCTCCGCCTCCGACGCCTCGGCCCCCTGGAGCTGGCCCTAAACCTCTCGACCCCCCTGCAGGCCAGCTCCTCTACCCGGGCCTCGCGGCTTGGCACCCCTGGGGACGAGGTGGGGATTTCTTAAAGAGCCAAGATCTACACACCGACACTTTGCCTGGCCCCGCACTGAAACTCGCACAGGAAAGCGGATCATGGCGCATGCGGGATCCTGGTGTATACGTGCTTCGTCGCTTCCCTGGGAAAAAACGCGGAAAAAATGGGCACCACACCACCCCGACGCCGCCCCCGACTCTCAAGAAGTCTCGGGATTCAAAAACAGCCCGCCACTGGAACCCATCGGTCGGAAGAAGTAGGTAGAAACGCCCAGCAGGAAGGCGTCGAGAGCAGATTGGGCCCCGCCCGCCCCCTAAGGAGGACGGAAGAGGTGAAGCCACTCGATCGTGGAAGTAGGAAGGCGCTGAAAGTAGATCGGCATCTGGGAGTCCCAGAGTACCTGCTTCCAACGGCCGATGGGCAATGTAGGTGCTCCAGTCTCCGAAACTTCTGAAGGGGCCCTGGGGCACACAAATAAATGCACACAAGTAACAGGATTCGCCATAATTTCCTATATCTTCTGGGTTTTTGTCTTCCCCCCCACTTCCCATACTTTCCCATATGTTCTGGGAATCGACGATTACTTGTGTCCTTGTGTTTTTTCCCTCCTTAACTTCTCCATGACCACCACCTGCGGGGCCGACCTTCGCGAAGAGGCCCTGGGATACACAAATAGATAGACACAACTCCCAGAATTTCCCATACTCGTTCCTATTTTCTGGAGTCTCCTCTCCCCCCCCTAACTTCCCATGTTTTCCCGTGTTTTCCTGGGGATCGACGATGCATTGCGTCTGTGTGTGTGTTTTCCCCCTCCTGACTTCGTGGGCCTCGGCGGTCGGCGGAGACGGACTGATTTTCACCGCCGCCCCGGGGGGCCCGAGCACATCCATCTCCGCCGCCGGCCGAGGCCGGCTGCAGACAGAACCCCCGCCTGGGACCTGGGCCGGGCGTTGGCAGAACTGGGCTTCGCGGGACCCGGTTTAGGAGTGTGTAACTGGGGGACGCCCCCCCCCCCCCGCCCCGTTCCACTCACCGGAACTGCCGTCCCCCGGACAAAAAACAGTAGCTGCGGCAGACCTGGTTCAGTGATTCTGCCCAAACTCGGGGCTCCGGAGTCCTACCGCTAACCAGGTCCCCTTACCTGAGGTCCTGGCTAGACCCGACTGGGGGCAGACGTTGCTCCCAGCTCGCTGACTGGGCTCAGCGCGGTGCCGCTCCACTTCCGCTGGTCGGCAAGAAGCCGTCACTTCACGTGCTCGGCTTCAGCCCACACGTTCTCGGCAAGGCTCTCGGTGTAGAGCTGGCCTGACCACACACACACACACACACACTCTTGGCAAAGACAGGCCGCTCAGAGAGCCTTCGGCTGCTTCCCTCCGTATCCCAGGCAACGAGACGGTGCGATACCCCTCGGCAGCTGCCTCGTCGGCTTGGCTTCCTCCGGGGCTGGCCACAGTCCTCGTTCCTGTCTTCTGGCCGCTCTGCCGTGGGGGGGGGGGGGGCGGCGGCTCGCCGCCAGGCGTCTCTCGATTCATGAGGGAGATGGGCACCACGAGCAGGATCGGCAGGAAGTACAGGATCAGCAGCGGCTTCACGCGGATGAGGGGACGTCGGGTCCGCCCGGGGGGGGGGGGCAGGAGAGAGGGGTGGTGGGCGAGCGTCATGGCCCGAGGCATGTGCGCGGACGAGCGGTGGCCGGAGGATGCGTCGAAAGAAGAAGAGGCCGCCGAGAAGTCAGGGAGATGTCGTGGCCCTCGCCATGGTGTCCACCTCTCTTGGACCTCATCCACCCCTCGGACGCCCCCAGGGATGGTAGATGGAAGCGACCGAATCGCAGGAAGTAAACTGTACCAGCGTGAGCATCAGCACCGGGATCGACTTGAAGCGATCTTCCACGATGGGCCCGGCCACAGGGTCAGAGAGCAGGTCCTCTCGGAAGGGACAAGGGGACCAGCGGCTTTCCTGGGACAGCGCTGGAAACCCCCAGGAGGAGGAAGAGGAGGAGGAGGAGGCGAGGAGGAGGAGGAGAAGGAGGAGGAGGAGGAGGAGGAGGAGGAGGAGGAGGAGGAAGGGGCGAGGAGGAGGAGAAGGAGAGAAGGAGGAGGAGGGGAGGAAGAGTGGGAGGAGGAGGAGGAGGAGGAGGAGAGAGGAGGAGGAGGGGGCGGGGGAGGATGAGGAGGAGCGGGCGGGGGAGGAGGAGGAGGAGGAGGAGGAGGAGGAGGAGGAGGAGGAGGAGGAGGAGGAAGAGGAGGAGGAGGAGCTGGAAACCCCCTCTCCACACCGCTTCACTAGCGCGCGAGGAGCGCCAAGGACGGAGCTTGAGGCGCCACCTGGAGAGGGGTGTCGAAGCCGTTGATCCCCAAGGCGGGCAAGAACCCCAGTTCCCCCGGATGTGGCCGGGTCCAGATTACATTAGGAAAAGTACCAGATGCTCGTTGCCGCGAAACTCAAGGCTCAAGCTCTGGCAAAACGGGGATGATCAAAATCTGTCGAAGAGGAGAAGACGTTGAGCAAAAAGATCAGAAATATCGGAGCTGAAAAGACACCCTTCAAGAACACGCGACCCTCCGCCGGCCAAAACACACAGAACATTCAAGGGCACCCTCCCTAGGATGCACAAGAGCATCCAACAAGCACGAAAAACGCTAGGGCAACCTCCCCGAACCAACCTCGATCTCATGGGGGAAACCAAAAGGTACCAATACCGCTACTCCCCGGACTTCTCCCAGAGTGCGTTCTGACCAGAATTCCGAGGCAAATCCAACGGTGGCGACGAGAACCTCCCAGGAGAGCGAAAAAAGAGAGAGAGAGAGAGAGAGAGAGAACAAAAAACGGGCGAAGGGTAGCGGTATGGGTACATGTTCCTCCTCTGACCTGTACCTCGGTCCGACCCTATGTCTCGCTCTCCACGAGTCGCGACGACGCGCTGCTGCCCCAGAAAACGTGAGCGGCGGCCCCAGGCTCGGGCATGCCCCCGTGTAGGTGCCCCAGGAAAGCTCCTGCCCGTGCGAATGGTGGACATATATCATAATAACAATGACAACAATAATAATATTATTATAATTAAAATAATAATAATAAGAAGAAGAAGAAGAATACTAATAATACTAATGATACTACTACTAATAATAATACTAGTAGTAGTAATAAAAATACTAATACTGATAATACGAATCATAATAAGAAGAAGAAGAATAAGAATAATCATAATAATAATAGTAATGAGAATCACCATCATCATCATAATCATCAGCATCATCATACTAATACGAATAACAATGACATCGGTAATACTACTAATAATAATTGGAATAAGAATAATAATCATAATAACAACGGAAATAATAATAAGAATAATAATAGTAACAATGAAACCAGTCATAAAATAATCGGAAATGATAGCAATAATAATAACAATCATAAGTATACACATACACTGGGTAATCTTACCATCAGCAGTCCAGGGACATACATCGGGCATAGGCCAGAAGAGCATCCTCCGAGAACACGAGACCCTCCGCCAGCCCAAAGGTACCCTCCTCGAACCGACCTCGATCTTATACCTCGGCCCGACTGTATCTCCCATCGATACTAAGCTTCGCAAGGTGTCCGAAAGTTCCACTTGGGTCTCAGAGTGCCATCGGGCGAAGCATTTCTGTGGGACACGTGCTGACAAGCACGTTCGGCGTTTGAAAGCTCACTGTACGTATGCCGGGCGGCCTCCGTGGAGTGTCCCGCGCTTCCGTCCGGCCAGTCCTCGTCCTGCCCCAGCAGGGCCACCCCGGCGCACGCGAACACGTAAATGGCTCCGAAGAGCAACACCCCAGCGGATGTCACCGTGCGATTTGACCCCAGAAGGCCGCTCACCAGCTTCCAGAGCGGCTGCATAAACTTCAGGAAGCGGAGGGTGCGCACCAGGCGGATCAGGCGCACGATTCTGATCACCAAGACCTTGTCCAGCACATCGGCCGCAATGCTTACCCTTAGCAGCGGCTCCAGCACCCATGTCGACAGCACGCCAACGACGACTAGTATGAAGTCCAGCCGAAACCACATACTATGGAGGCACTCCTCCCAATCGCCCACAGTGCGTATCAAAAGCTCCAACACGTACACCGTTAGAAAGCAATGCTCGAGCACCTGTAACTCAAAAGAGGTCTGGGCACCCTCCTTGACGTGCCTGTCGATCTCGAGCCCTATCGTCACGCAGTTAAAAACTATGACGGCGCCAATGCAGTAGTCGAATATCGGGCTCTGAATGACCCTGCGAGCGCAGCGATGCACCGGGTCGAACGCCCAGCAGTCCATGGCATCCGCACAGCCCCAGTGAAACCTCGACGATGCCTTTCAGCGGCGAGCAAGGGGAAATGAGAAGGAGAAGGCCTTCTCAGAAGGCGGCGGGGCTTCTCAGAAGGCCTCGGGCCTTCTGACAGGTTTTCTCTGTCCTCTGGGAAGGGTTAGGTAACTTCTCATAAGCCCGGGGTACTTCCGAGCCTTCTGAGAAGGCCCGCCTCTCGCTTCCCCCCCTCGCTCGCTGCCGAATTCAGTTTTTGGGTAATACCTCGGGTCTACGGCGGGCGTTCGGGATGATCCGGGCACCCCCGGAACGCCCGCGGCGAGGCGCAGCTGCTGGCAAGCATCCCGAGGCTGGAACATCGCCGAGAACCGACGAAAACGCCCGAAAACCTCGAACCGCGAACCCGAAAGTTGCCCCACTCGCTCGCCGCCGATTCCTTGTAACTCCTTTGCTGGACGGGCATGTTCAGCCCGCGGTCGCGCAGGGCAAGCTCGGTGAGCTCCACCGTGCCCCGCAGCGACTGGCGTCGAAAGCTCTCGGGCGAGACTCCTCGGGTTTGGCGCGACGGCGCTGCACGCCCACACCGACCCTGGCCAGACCCAGCCTGGGCCCTCCATCCCTCCTCCTCCTCCCTCTTCCTCCTCCCTCCCTCCCTCCCTCCCTCCCTCCCTCCCTCCTCCTCCTCCTCCTCCTCCTCCCTCCTCCTCCTCCTCCTCCTCCTCCTCCTCCTCCTTCTCCTCTTCCTCGTTTCCTCCTCCTCCATTCCTTCTCCTTCTAAATCGCTCCTCCCTGTCGCACCCCGAGGCCTGTTTTTAGGGCGGGCCGGGCGTTTCGCCTAAGACTCCCTCACCATTTATGACTCTGACGCTTAAAAAGTGACAACAGCTTCACAAATGGAGGGCGGGTCGCTTTCAAAATGTGGCTCTCGCCTCAGCGCCGCGCACATTCGCTTTACAAATTTGCAAGAGCTTCACGGATTGAGGGCGGGTGGTATCAAAATGTGGCTCTCGCCTTGGCGCCGCGCACATTCGTCCTGCAAATTTGAAGAATTTCACGGATTGAGGGCGGGTGATTTTCAAAATGTGGCTCTCGCATCAGCGCCGCGCAAACTCGTTCTGAAAATTTGCAAGAGCTTCACGGATTGAGGCCGGGTGGTTTTCAAAATGTGGCTCTCGCCGTAGCGCCGCGCACACGAAAAATGTGCCAGAGTTTCGCGGATTCGGGGCGGGTGGTATTCAAAATGTGGCTCTCGCCTTGGCGCCGCGCACATTCGTTCTAAAGATTTGCACGAGCTTCACGGATTGAGGGCGGGTGATTTTCAAAATGTGGCTCTCGCCTCAGCGCCGCGCGCATTCGCTTTAAAATTTGCAAGAGCTTCACGGATTGAGGGCGGGTGGTATCAAAATGTGGCTCTCGCCTGGGCGCCGCGCACATTCGTGTTTTACAACTTTGCAACAGTTTCACGGATTCCCTTGATCAGCGTACTAGAAATTGCGTTTTGGAAGGATTCAGGATTACGCGGGCGCAACAGTTATGTTGATTCGATCTGTTGAAGTCCAAAAAATGGCGCCCTGGCACGATTCTGGATCGTCAAGACGCAGCAGTCAGGTTGATACGTGGCGTTGAAATCCCGAGAACAATGATTTCGCATGCTTCAGGATCTTCGAAATGTTGTCTTCCAACGAGGCAGTTCCCTCAATGGTAATGAACCGTTGTGGGGGCCTATGAAGAGGGAGCTTGGAGGGAGGGTGAATTCCAACATCGTTGATGACTCTTGGTTTTACACTGGTCCTCCTCTTCCTCCTCCTCCTCCTCCTCCTCCTCCTCCTCCTCCTCCTCCTCCTCCTCCTCTTCCTCCTCCTCCTCCTCCTCCTCCTCCTCCTCATTTTCCTCCGCCCTCCTCCTCCTCCTCCTCCTCCCTCCTCCTCCTCCTCCGCCCTCCTCCTCCTCCTCCTCCGCTCCTCCTCCTCCTCCTCCTCTCCTCTCCTCCTCTCCTCGCCTCCTCCCTCCCTCCCTCCCTCCCTCCCTCCCTCTCTCCCTCCCTCCCTCCCTCCCTCCATCCCCTCCTCCTCCTCATCAAACCTGTATCCCACTCATGGGCAGTCATGCCAAATACATCCAACCTCAACTGGGGAAACCAAAAAGTACCGCTACCGCTACTGACCGGACCTTTCCCAGGATGCGTTCTGACCAGAACTTTGAGGCGAATCCAGCAGTGGCGACGGGCCTCCCAGAAGGCCCTTCAAAAAATTGAGGCAGGGGTAGCGGTATCGGCACCGCTCCCTCCTCTGACCAGCATCCGCCTCCAAGCCTCCATATCCCCTCAGCAACCCCAGCGGTGACCTCGGCGGGTACAGCTGGCTTGGGCGCTCATTAAAGGGGGCCAATAGTGGGCGCTCATTACCACTGGCTTGGGCGCTCATTAATGGGTTGCCTTTCCTATGTTTTCATTGGAAGCTATGAGCCAAGCCAACCGCGCTCATTCCGATTCCCGGCCGATGCGCCGTTGCTGGCGCCTAATAAATGAAGGGGGGCAGCGAGGGCTACCGAAAAGGGGCCCTCCGGGGCCCCTGATGGGGACCCGCTCGGGCCCCTTGACAGGGGGCCTCCGGGGCCCGACAGAGGGCACCCCCCTCCCCCTCCCAACAGGCCGCCCCCCACCACTCCGCGCCCCCCACCGGCGCCCACGGCCCCTCTCCTCCGGGCTCCGCGTCCCCGAGGTGCTCTTGGGAGCCGCCCTTCGCCGCCGCGCGCGCCGCCGCCTCGCCCTCGGCGCCCTCGGCCGCGCCGCCCTCCGCGCCCTCGGCGCCCTCGGCGCCCTCGGCGCCGCGCGCTCCCGCGCCCGCGCTCCCGAGGGCCCGCGCCAGGCTCCCGACCAGCGCGGCGTGGCGCCACTCGAGCTCCCGCCTCTCTCTCTCGGGGGGGCGGCGGGGCTCGGGCGCCTGCTGCAGGCCCAGGCACGCCGTCGACAGACGACGCCGGCGATGGCGACGACGACGGCAGCGACGATCACGGCGGCGAAGACGACGGCGGCGACGACGGCGACGACGACGGCACCGGCGACAACGAGCGCGACTGCGGCGGCGACGGCGGCGACGCCGGCCACTGCGAGGCCGGGTCACAAAGTCACCGCTCGCAAGTGACCTAAATCCGCCGCGGGGAACTAACGATCCTTTACATCGAGGAAATCATATGGCATATTGCTTTCGGACGGTGGCGAGTGGGCACTTTGCGAGTAGTGGAACGCGCTCGATGAGCCGAGGCTGATCAGAAGGGACACGCGAGAGGGCACGAGACCAGAGGCCTCCCAGATGGGGTCTGAGCACATGGGGTCGGAGGATCGCTCCGCATCGCCGATGCATCGGCGATGCATCGGCGACTCGGCGCTGCATCGGCGACGCCGGTGCGGAGAAAACCGGGCTCCACATCGAACCGCATCGCCGATGAACCCCATCTGCTCCGACCCCGCGTGGGAGGCCCAGGCAGAAGCCCAGACATGCAGGCGAGTTCGCCTGGACAGGGCACCGGAGAGGGCACGAGGCCCCTCCGAGGGCCACAGTGCCGCAGGAAGAGGTCGCAGGCAGGGGCCGCTCTTGCACAGGACACGGGCAGGGGTACCTCTGATTCTCGGGGGCGGCCAAGAGGGGGGCGTCCAGGGGGGGGGGGGGCAAGCCATGGCTGGCGGCATGTGCGCGGCTCAGGAGGGGGCCGGGGACGCGTTGAAGCAAGAAGAGGCGCCATGAGATCTGGGGAGATAGCACGGCCCTCGCCACGATGTCCACCCCCCTCTAGTCATCAACACCCTCTTGGCCGCCCCCGAGATGTGGCACGGTTCACTCACGAACAGCAGGTCAAACGTTTTCTTCTTCGGCGCTTCGACACTGGGCGGAAAGGGGGGAAAGAGGGGAAGGGGGGGGGGTCTGGTTCTGGACCCCTGCTTCATGCGACGGTTTGCAGCAGTGCGCCCAAGAGGGGAGAGGCGCCACCTGCTCGAAACAGGCGCCAAAACAGCCAAGATCTACTCCCCGTGGGGGGGAGGGAGGGGTGCGAGGACCCGCGCCGATCGGCAGAACAATGAATCCGCCCGCCCCCTTGAGGGGCCACCAGGCTGTAGGCCGAAGTGTGCGGCTCCTGGAGCCAGTTGCAGTTTCAAGCCTCCGACGTTACAGTCCGGCTTTCTGCTTCCTACTGTACAGTGTGTCCGCGCGAGGGGGGGTGCGAGGGACCGCGCCGATCGGCAAAACCATGAATACCCATCGGTCGGAAAGAGTAGGTAGAAACATGAAGTAGGAAAGCATTGAAAGTGGATTGGGTGTCCGCCCGCCCCCTGAGGAGGACGGAGAAGGCGAAGCCACTCGATCATTGAAGTAGGAAGGCGCTTAAAGTAGATTGGAATCTGGGAATCCAGAAATACCTCCTTTTCGAGGGCGCCCAAGAGGGGGGGGGGGGGCGTCCAAGAGGCGCGGCCCAAGGGGTGGCCAGGGAACGCACTGAAACAAGAAGAGGCGCCAGGAGATCTGGGGAGATGCCATGGCCCGCCGTGGGTGCAGACTGTGCTGGGCCCCCCAGCAGGCCTCGAAAGTGGCGACAGTTTCACAGATCGCAGCCCCCCAGGGATGGCGAGGTCCCATTTGAGTCCGCCGCGGGTGCAGAGTGTGCTGGGATGGCGAGGTCTCATTTGAGTCCGCCGCGGGTGCCCACTGTGCTGGGCCCCCCAGCAGCCCTCGAAAGTGGCGACAGTTTCGCAGATCGCAGCCCCCCAGGGATGGCGAGGTCTCATTTGAATCCGCCGCGGGTGCAGACTGTGCTGGGCCCCCCAGCAGCCCTCGAAAGTGGCGACAGTTTCGCAGATCGCAGCCCCCCAGGGATGGCGAGGTCCCATTTGAGTCCGCCGTGGGTGCAGACTGTGCTGGGCCCCCCAGCAGGCCCCGAAAGTGGCGATTCGCAGATCGCAGCCCCCCAAGGATGGCGAGGTCCCATTTGAGTCCGCCGCCGGTGCAGACTGTGCTGGGCCCCCCAGCAGGCCTCGAAAGTGGCGACAGTTTCACAGATCGCAGCCCCCCAGGGATGGCGAGGTCCCATTTGAGTCCGCCGCCGGTGCAGACTGTGCTGGGCCCCCCAGCAGGCCCCGAAAGTGGCGACAGTTTCACAGATCGCAGCCCCCCAGGGAGGGCGAGGTCCAATTTGAGTCCGCCGCGGGTGCAGACTGTGCTGGGCCCCCCCCGCAGCCCTCGAAAGTGGCGACAATCCCACCAGCCCTTTAGGGCGTCGGTGGTTTAACGAGTTTCCTCTTCCACCCCTCCTTCTTCCCCTTCGGGGAGGGGTTTACCCCTCCCCCTACCCCCTCCCCACTGACCTGGACAGGGGGGGCCGCGATCGGTCAGAGCGTCCAAGATCGACCCCTGGGAGGGCTAAAATTCGACACCCCTCACGAGGATCGTGGCTCCTGAGGGGGGGCTGAAATTTAGGAACCCCCTTTCGTTGATCGATCTCCTCCAAGATGGCTCCTTGGACCCCCTCTTGGGCCCTGCGCGCGGGCGGGCGGAGCGCCGCCCGCCCGCCCGTAAGGCCCAAGAGCCCACCAAAACGTTCGAAGATACTTCCAAGACGCCACCAGGGAAGAGGAAGATGAGGAGGAAGAGGAGGAGGAGGAGGAGGAGGAGGAGGAGGCGAGGGAGGAGGAGGAGAAGAGGAGGAGAAGGCGGAGAAGGAGGAAGAGGGGGAGGAGAACAGCTGCCGATCATCGGCGCTCTTCGTGCGAGCGCCTGGTGTAGGATGGGCTGGTGGGGATACGCGAAGCGTCAAGAATTTCGCAGATCGCAGCCCCCCAGGGATGGCGAGGTCGAATCTGAGTCCCCGCAAACGTAACTGCGTTGGGCCCCCCAACAGGCCTCGAAAGTGGCGACAGTTTCACAGATCGCAGCCCCCCAGGGATGGCGAGGTCTAATCTGAGTCCCCGTAGGACGTCACCCCGCTGAACCCCCCAGCAGCCCTCGAAAGTGGCGACAGTTTCACGGATCGCAGCCCCCCAGCGATGGCGAGGTCGAATCTGAGTCCCCGTAAAACGTAACTGTGCTGGGCCCCCCAGCAGCCCTCGAAAGTGGCGACAGTTTCACAGATCGCAGCCCCCCAGGGATGGCGAGGTGTAATCTGAGTCCCCGTAAAACGTCACTCCGCTGGGCCCCCCAGCAGACTTCGAAAATGGCGACAGTTTCATAGATCGCAGCCCCCCAGGAATGGCGAGGTCTAATCTGAGTCCCCGCAGGACGTCACTCCGCTGGGCCCCCCAGCAGACCTCGAAAGTGGCGACAGCTTCACAGATCGCAGCCCCCCAGGGATGGCGAGGTCTAATCTGAGTCCCCGTAAGACGTCACTCCGCTGGGCCCCCAAGCAGACCTCGAAAGTGGCGACACTTTCACAGATCGCAGCCCCCCAAGATTGGCGAGGTCTATTCTGAGTCCCCGTAAGACGTCACTCTTAGGGGGTAACTCCAACAGAACGCCTTTACCCCCCCTGGGCGTCTAACTCGGGGCGCTCGGGCGTCTAACTCGGAGCGCTCGGGCGTCTAACTCGGGGCGCTCGGGCGTCTAACCAGACGACTAACTCGGGGCGCTCGGGCGTCTAACTCGGAGCGATCGGGCGTCTAACTCGGAGCGATCGGGCGTCTAACTCGGGGCGCTCGGGCGTCTAACAAGACGACTAACTCGGGGCGCTCGGGCGTCTAACTCGGAGCGCTCGGGCGACTAACTCGGGGCGCTCGGGCGTCTAACCAGACGACTAACTCGGGGCGCTCGGGCGTCTAACTCGGAGCGATCGGGCGTCTATCTCGGGGCGCTCGGGCGACTAACGTCGGAGCACTCGGGCGACTAACTCGGGGCGCTCAGGCGACTAAAATCGGGGCGCCCAGACGACTACCTCGGGGCGCTCGGGCGACTAACTCGGAGCGCTCAGACGGTCTGACGACTAACTCGGAGCGCTCAGACGACTAAAATCGGAGCGCCCGCGTCTAACGCGGGGCGCCCAGACGGCTAACTCAGACGACTAAGTCGGGGCGCTCAGACGACTAACGCGGGGCCCCCGGGGGTTCGCCCAGACGACTAGCTTGGGGCGTCTAGCTCGGGACGTTCGGGGCTCTAACTCGAACGCGCTCGGGGCTCGGCCGACTAAGCAGGGGGGCCCTCCCCCCTCAGACCGCGACCGCGCCCCGCCCCCGCAAGCGGGCGTCGTCGGGAGGAGGGAGAGGAAGGACGAGGAAGCGGAAGGAAGGGGCGCCTCCTCCCTTACCCGCCCCCTCCCCTCACCCCTCCTTTCCCTCCGCTCCTCCTCATCCTCCTCCTCGAGCCTCGACCTCCTTTCCCTTCGCTCCTCCTCCAACCGACCCAACCCACCCCTCCAGAGTCGTGGAACGTGGACGCGAGCCCCCGGCCCCGCCCCCGCCCCGACGCCGTGGGCGACGGCGACGACGCCAAGGCGGGGCGGCCCGCACCCCGCCGGCTGGCCGGCGCAAGCGGGAGGGGGAGGAGAGGTAAGAAGGAAGAGAAGGAACCAGAGACTCAGAGAGGGGGGGTGAACGCGCGAGTGGGCGAGGGAGGAGAGGAGAGGGGGAGGGGGAGGGAGAGAGAGACACACAGGGAGAGAGAGAGAGAGAGAGAGAGAGAGAGAGAGAGAGAGAGAGAGAGAGAGAGAGAGAGAGAGAGAGAGAGAGAGAGAGAGAGAGAGGAGAGAGAGAGAGAGAGAGAGAGAGAGAGAGAGAGAGAGAGAGGGAGAGGGAGAGAGAGAGGAGAGAGAGGGAGAGAGAGAG